AGGGACTGTGGCTGCTCCCCTTGATCTGTGCCATCCCCTGAGGGTGCCAGGGACCTGTGGCTGCTCCCCTATGATCTGTGCCATCCCCTGAGGGTGCCAGGTCCTGTGGCTGCTCCCCTTGATCTGTGCCATCCCTGCCATCCCCTGAGGGTGCCAGGGACTGTGGCTGCTCCCCTTGATCTGTGCCACCCGTGCCATCCCCTGAGGGTGCTAGGGACCTGTGGCTGCTCCCCTTGATCTGTGCCATCCCCTGAGGGTGCCAGGGACTGTGGCTGCTCCCCTTGATCTGTGCCATCCCCTGAGGGTGCCAGGCCCTGTGGCTGCTCCACTCTGATCTGTGCCATCCCCTGAGGGTGCCAGGGACTGTGGCTGCTCCCCTGTGATCTGTGCCATCCCTGCCATCCCCTGAGGGTGCCAGGCCCTGTGGCTGCTCCCTGCTGAGCTCCAGCTGCTGCTGCTCCTCCCAGGAGCTGCCAGGATCCTCCCCAGCTCAGGAATTGGGTGAATCCCCACAGCTGGGGCAGGAACGGGGGCTCTGAGCCCCCACATCCCTCCCTGCAGGGACACCCCTGTAGGGTTTTTGGGAAAACACAGAAAAAGCCCCAGCCAGAGTTCTGGGAATAAGAGGGGAGTTAAATCCTCAGGGGAGGAAGAGCAGATAAAAAATGAGACGTTGTGACAGGGCTGCCAGGCTGCGTGGCAGGAGGGTTAATTTTTTGTGAAACTGCCATTTCATATTCCCTTTCAGACAAGCAGAATTACACGGTGCTGGCTGCTGCAGGAGGAGCATAATTTCCTTCACAGAAATAATGACAGGGTACTTAAAGAGCAAGTGAATGGATGGCTGAAGTACTGGGCAGAGACTTCAGAAATCCAGGCTGAGCCCTCACCTTTACAGAAGGCTCCTTTGGTGACCTTGGGCCAGTCATTTAATCTTCCTGTGTCTCAATTCCCTGCCAATAACACAGGAATAATAACTGTTCTCGGCCTTCCTGGCTTATTTAGGCTGCAAACTCAGAATTTACAGCTTGTGTTTGCTTTGCTTTGAAGCCCAAGAGCTTCAGTCTGTGCTGAGGTGTCTGGGACAACCATGGGGTACAACAACAAAGGGCTGGGATGGATGGTTTGGGACATCCTCAGTGTGAAAATCTCCAGAATTCCTGATCCATCTCTTCCCTCAAAATGTGGACAAGTTTGGAGCTGTGCTAGGAGTTCCAAAAGCATCAAAATAATTTAGGAGCAGAGTCCATAGTGATTTATTGAATCCCTGAGTTCCTTCTGAAGCAGAATGGATAATTTAGAAACCTGCAGAAATTTCCTTTGTGCTCAGTCAGGGCTGCAGCAGCTCCTCAGGTTTTTCAGTGTAAATTGAGGTTCCTGTGTACCCAGGTTCTATCCATCTCCAGCTTTCAGCAGTTTGTGTGATTTCCTGAAGGCAGGAGAGATGGGTCCCTGCTCCCAGAGCCGGTGAACACCAGATTGTCTCTATAGTTAAGCAATTTGCTGTACAAAGGGAACAATTCTAAAAATAGGGAGAAATGGCACCCTGACATGAGCAGGAACGATGACCCAATCCCCACCTTGCTGCAGGGCCTTTGTCCTGTAACTGCCTCCATCAGCAGGGCTCTGATGACATTATTTTCTGTGCTTCTGTGGGGCACAAGGCTGCAGGTACCTGGGAGGGGGGATTTTGATCAGCCTGCTGAGGATGAACACGCTGGGGAGGCTTCTGGGGGAACACTAAATCAAAGTTTCATTTACATCAGACACCAGCCCGGCCATTGCAGCGTTAACGGCTGCACTGCTGCCCTCGACATTTGGTGTGGATTTAATCTGTCAGGGGGGAAGTAAAAAACAAGGGGAGAGAAAGTCCTTGTGGTTTATGAAACCTGCATCTTTCCTTTCAGGCACTATCAAATGGCAGCGATTTGTACGGGTTTAAAACTCTTCTGGTAGCAGATTTCTGGCTGCCCCTGCATCCCTGGAATGTCCAGGTTGGACTTTGGGGCTTGGAGCAGCCTGGGATAGGGGAAGGTGTCCCTGCCATGGCAGGGTGGCACTGGGAGAGCTTTAAGGTCCTTCCAACCCAAACCATTCTGTGATTCCTAAATCACACCTGCCACAGTGCCAGTGATGTGGACAATGCTGAGCCAGGGGAGTTAAAGAAATAAAAAGGAAAAAGAGAAAAGTGCTCGACAGCACGAACAACCCAAATTATTAAAGATATTTCAGTGCTTTTACCACTGGCCTCTGCAGGATTCAAGAGTTTCATTTTCACACCTAAATACCTTTGAGAATGGAGGCTCTGAGTGGTGTTGAAAATTTGTTCTTTTTATATTTTAAGGCCCTGCTGGAAGCAAAGGGCTCAGCTCTCCAAATAAGCCCTGCCAGGCACTGAAGGCCCAGCAGTGTCTGGGTGCCCTGACCCTGCTCTGGTGTTTTGGGGGGTTCCTTGGCTCCTGTGCTGCTTTCAGCTGGGGCAGAGGGAATTTCCTTCTCTGGGGCTGTGTTTGGGTTTGTGCTGATAACTCAAGAGATGTTTTTGTTCTTGCTGAGCTCACTCGGAGCCAAAGCCTTTCCTGTCCTTGTTCAGCCATGCTGGGGAGGGGCTGGGGGTGCCTGGGACTGACCCAACCACAGGGATGACCACAGGATATAAACGGGGTCACAGAAGGAATTGGGGGACATTTGGACTCCATGAGGAGCAGAATAAGCTCACAGGACAGGAGCTCCAGCCCCCCAAAACACGTGCACACCTGGGCCGTGGCAGCCTGGGCTATATGGCAGGCTATGATTTGTTGTCACCTTTACAAACACAACAACAAAATCACTAGTCTTCCACACAGAGCCAGGCCAGGAGAGCAGCCATTCCTCCTCAGGGACGTCTTCTCCCAGCATCCTTCCTCAGTTCTTCTCATCCTGCACTCCTTGTTCCTGTCCCTCCTTCAGGGGCGGGCGCTGCCCTTCGCAGTTCCTCCTGAGCCCACATCAAACCTGCCTGTAATCATCTCTCCAATTTGTGCTGTTCCCGTGAGTTTCTGCTCCATTTCCTCGCTCCAGAGACTCTACAGGGACATCAGGGCTCAGCAGGGGCTCCTCTGCCTCACCCTGGGATAAACTTCTCCAGGAGTGCTCTGACAACTCTCTCCCAGCTGAATTTGAGTCTGACTACAATAAGCAAATGCAATATGTGCTGGGGAACACTGGAGAAAAGGACTCTGCAAAGAGAAAGATAATGATAGTGCAGATTCCTGGAATCCCACTGAGAGGCTGATTTCAGCCAGGAAAACAAACCCCTTTTGCTGTTCCCTTTCTCTGGATTTGTTGATGAGCAATCTTTGGTTCAGGCCCAGCTTTTCTTTCACTGCCCAGGTTTTCTCTGTGAATCCCTCACATGGATGAGGTGTGGAAGGACAGTGCTGGCTCGCACCCACGGAAAGGATCTGACTTCATTCCTTGTCCAGCAGAGCTGTGCTCACCTCAGCCACTGAAATCAAGCAGGGAACAGCCTCTTCCCATCCTCACCCAGCTGTTTTGGGTACTTTTGTAAGCAGTGGGGAAAAGGGAAAGAAATAAAACAATTCCTCTGCAGCCTTGACTGCTCCTTCCATGGGAGGATGAAGAGGGTGCAGCAACAGGAGAGGGTTTGGGTTTGCTCTGCTGGCAGGGGCCGTGCCCTGTGGGAGCTCATGGGGAGCAGTCCCATCCCTCCCTTTCTTTTTTTATAACATATGTGCTTTCTATGGACACTTTATTCTAACTCCAGATGGGTGTTTCAGCCTGGGGATTTGTGCTGCCCCGAGATAACAGCCCTTTGTGCTGGCCTAGGTAGCAGGAGTGTTTGTGATAGCTGGGGCTGATACCAGCAGATGTCCAGGTGGTCTTATTTAACAGGGAGCATTAGTGATACTGCCATTGTCCAGGAAATCAGATAAAAACGGGTCCAGGTGTCACCCAACACCCTGTTTGTGTAAGGACTGAGCCAGCTGCTGAACACAGGGGATGTGTTCCTGTACAGAACTGCTGTCACCCCAAACCTCCCGGGTAAAATTTAACCGGGAGCTGCACTTGGATGATCCTTGTGAGTCCCTTACAACTCAGGATATTCTGTGATTCTAATCTGAATATCAAGTGGAACAGCAGTGAGTATCCAGTGAAAAAATCTGGGAAGTGAGACAATATTTAGAAATAGAAACTCAGGACAATTCAGTCTTCAGCCCAAGATAACGGGAAGAGAGAATGAATTGTAAAGAAGAATGAGTTTGAGAGAGAAGACAGTTTGGGAAGTGCTAAGCTGGACTGGAATTCCAGGTGACCAGGACACTTTTCAGTCCTTGTTCTGGGACACAGCTCCACAAAGGGATTTACCACAAATCACTGCCAGACAGTCAGGTAAAAATCAAGACAGAGATGTGAGCAAGAGCTCCTCTCTTGGTTTCACACCCAGCCATCCCTGCTCAGAGTGAGGTAGGTGTTCAGTAGGAAACACAAATTGCAGGCTCAGAGGCATGTGAGGATTTTGTCTGGACTGTCTCAGTGGGGCTGTATTTCTCTGTGTGCTGTCAGGAGGGATCTGCCACTCCTGTTTGTCCCAGAGATTTCAGGGATGTGGCTCCTTGTCCTGGTGGCAGCTGGACCTCACCCCTCTCCCTGACACTGGGAGGCTCCTTGGGAATTATTTCTAAGGATGGGAGCTAAACTTAGCTCCAGACCACGGGAAAAATCCTGTCTGGAAAGAGTGGGGACTCTTGGCCTGCAGCTATCTCCGAGCAGGCTCATCACAGAGAGATCCCCAGCTGCACTTCCAGGCTGTAAATTAAACAAACAGAATTTCCTGCACACCAGACCACAGGGAGGGCAGAGAGAACAATGTGGCCTTATTGCTGTTATTTCCTTTGGTTTCAATCTCTGTCCTCTGCCCTCCACCTCCTCCCCAGCCCCGTGTCTCCCACTTTACCCGATTTGTCATTTATTACCGTGCTTTAAAGAGAGGCAGGGGGAAAAATGCTCAGTGCAAATTATATTTTGAGCTGTTGTGCTTTGCCTCTTTGGCGGATAATAAATCTCTCTGGCAATGCTCCTCTGTATAGGATTTGTCATTAAATGCAATTAAACAAACCCTGCAGGTGTCCATGATCAGGCCTGCAGCAGCCCATTCACAACTGCAATGTTATTATCAGCCTGACAACAAAACAGCAGATATTTCCTGAGCTCCTCTGATCGATGAGCTCGCCTGATTTGGAACTGGAGGGAGGAGAGAAGGGGGACCAGACCGGTTCAAATGCTCTTTAGACTTATTGATGGAAAAGTCAAAAAGCTGCTCAGCAATCAGAGGGAAGGTGGAGAGAGAAAAGGGCTGAGGGACAGAAGGGCTAAAAGGGAAAAATGAGAGAGGAGTGTTTGGGAGTCAAAAGGCAGAAACAAGGCGAGTTATCACATGGTGCCCTTCCACCCAGTGAGCTGGTTCATGCACAGGACTGGAGTTAAGGAGGCACAGAGGGCATTTCAGGGAGGATTCTACAGCACTTGGGCTTTCAGTGTTGTCATGCAGCCTCCCTGCCCAGCTGGCACAACAATTCCTCTCCCCCTGGGACAGAACTTGACTGGCAGGTTTTCCTGCTGTCCAGGGATGTCTGTCTGTCTCCACAAACTGCAGCACAATGGTTGGATCAGACAGCCAGCTAATGTCAAACCCCACCTGGAACAGTCAATGGGACTGGATGGGGCTTGGAGTGACCTGGGATAGTGGAAGCTGGGTGGGCTTTGTGCTCCTTCCAGCCCAAACCATTTGGGATTCTGTGAAGTGCAAGTTCTTCCCTATCCTCATTCTCACCCCGAAGCACATCCTGGCACAGCTTTGGGAAGCTGCAGAGGTGCTGCTGACAGGGCTTGTCCAAAGCAGATGCAACAACATTCACACCAGAGCTGCTGTGTGCTCTGACAATGAGGAACAGGAGAAAACCTCCTGTGGTTTCTGTGAGCCATCCCAGGCAGCCTGTGGAGTGTGAAGGTCAGGGATTCACAGGGGACTGGCTGCCATCGAGCCCAGTGAGGGAGAAGAATTTGCCAACACCGGTGGAATCCTTCTGCCTGACTCGTTTGCTCAGCTCAGCCTCGGGGCGCTCTCAGGATGAACCTCGGGCCCCTCCTGGAGTCCTGGTTCAGCCCAGCTCATTCTGGGCACACAGGGAATTGCAGTGACAAGGGACAAAGCCCACATTACTGCTCTAGTGCCACCTAAACAATGGATTTGGGAATGGGTAAGGGGAGCCAAGGGTATCAGTAGGGCCTGTGTAGAGTGTAGGGGTGATTATTTACTCCTACAATAAAAAGCTTTTGTAGAGGTCTTTGATTTAAGTTTTAGAGCTTCATCTCTACACTCTGTGTAGAGTGTAGGGGTGATTATTTACTCCTACAACAAAAAGCTTTTGCAGGGCTCTTTGACTTAAATTTTAGAGCCTCATCATCCCAGATAGCCTGGGACCCTGCTTGCTGCCACCCGAGGTCACACTGGGATTGTGACAGAAGGAGCCAGCAGTTCTGTCATCAAGCCATGGGTCTCAGAATGAGAATTTCCCTGGAGCCTGCACCTAGATCCCCCTCTTACACCCAGAGGGACAAGAGCTGGCACATCCCAGGGCCAGCCCGAGGAACCAGGGGCTGCTGTGAGCCCTCACAGACCCTACAGAACTGCAGATTTCCACCCCAGGAGCAAATCTAGGGCAGGATGGAAATGCACAACTGATTGGATCGACTTCAACAAACACCTTTTTCCCCCTTCTTTCCACTTCTCCTCCTCCCCACCTCCAGCAGCTCCTCTCTGCGCGCTGCTCATCTCCCTTTGTGCACCTCTTACCCGCACTCTCCTCTCTAAACAGGTGCAGTTGCCACTCAATAGACTTTAATTACCACTTCAAGGGCTCTCACCGGGGTCTGCGGGAGGGTGGAGATGAATTTTCCCCAGGATTATGCGTGTGGCTGAGTTCTCTCTTCAGTCAGATGGTGATGCTGCTGCCAGCCAGGATCCTTCGAGAGATCGCTTCTCCGCTCCTCTGTTCGTGTTAACAAAAAGGAAAACTGCTGCTGAAGGGGAAAAAAAAAAACAAAAAACAACCCAGCCATTACCTGGATTAATTAGCAGGACAGCGAATGGGTCTGGAGAAAAACATTACAGAAAATTTACAGCCCAGGAGTCTCAGCTGGGCTTCCAAACTATTATTCCTTGCAAATCAGAAGTGGAAAGCTCAGCATCTCGGAAGATTTCTGTGGGAGACTGGGCTCTAAAAATACAAGTTGTTTTTAAGCACTTTACCTTTTTTTTTGCTCCGTGCTGTTCCCATCACGGCTCACTGGAGAGACGTGCTGTTAATGCATCCTGCTGGGACCCTGGGGATTCCTCACAGGGAACGGGGGTTCATTCCTGCCTGTGATGGAGGAATTATTCCCAGTGTTTAACCAGTAACAGAACATTATTTTTATTATTAAGATCCTCTTCAAAAAGCCCTCCTGGAGAATTATGCCTGTCAGGACTGCCTGGAGTTGTTTGCCCAGGGTGTGAGTGCACACTTGTGGGGATGCACACAGAAATTTGGATATGTGCTCCTCTGAGATGATATGTGCAGAGAGGAGCTGGGAATATAACAGCATCTTTTGGGACAAGGGAGATTTCCAAACATTTAAAAAATCGTTTCTTTCACTCAACATTAACATTTCTAATTTTTTTTCATAAAATGAAATGTAGGAAGGAGATTTTTTTTATAGCAAATTAAGCAACAATTTGTTCTGCTGCAATTAAGTTTGTTTTCCTAAACAAGAAATTCAGCAAAACTGGGGAAATCTTGCAGCCAAATGGGCTTTTGCAGATGTGTTTTCCATGAAGCATTTTGCCTAGCTCCAAAACAGCTGGGTGTGTGCAACATCTGAGCTTCTGCTTGGCTTTTGTGCTGGGCTGGAGCAGAGTCCATGTGGGCTCTGTGCTCCCAATCCAGCCAGGGCTGAGCTCATCCCCAAACTCAATGGCAAAAAGAGCAGAGTGACCATGACACACATCAGCCCTGGGCATCCCTCAGTGCCTGGGAATGTTCTGTTCCTCTTTCCTCAGGCTCAGGATGGAGCTGTGCCCTGATAAGTGAAGAGGTGGAAGAGCTGGCCTGAGATGGGCAAAGGAAGTCACAGGTTCCCACTCACATTTCTCAGGTTCTCTCCTTCTCGTGTAACTCATTCTTTCAGCTTCTATGATTTAAAATCCTTCTGCCCTCATCACCCCTTCCTCCCACCCTTCCTTTCCTTGTGCATTTTGATTTCCAGGCCCATCTTCCACATGTTTTCCTGCCATTTCTGCAGGACTGGGGTGAACATTGATCACAGCCATCTCAAGCCCATCTCTCGTTTTTCCCAAAGAGCCCATGGAAATGTCACCCATGAGATAATAATCATGTTGCTTACATCCCTTAATTGCTCTCAAAGTACAGTCGAGGCTTCAGAGCCTCTTTGAAAGGCAGGTTCTGGCCTTTGGCACATTATTGACAGGCTGTTGATAAGCCCCTTTGTTGAGAAGCAATTTTGTCCTTTTTCCTGTACAATTTTTTGGTTTTTTTAAAGACAGCCCTTTCAGAAAGAGTAGATTTTTAAAATAGAGCTGAGCTTTGAACGAGCAGGCATCAGAGTTATTCCCAAGGAGCAGTGGCACACGTGGGAGAGGAGAGCTACCAGCACACTCCATGCAGGACTCTGTACAGGAAATCACACTGAGATGACAAATGGCTTCATTCTTGTTCCTTTTTAGGCCTTCCCCTCTCAGCCCTGATAATTAGATGTTTATTTGCAGTGTATTACTAAAGCATTGGATGTCTTGTGTGTTCCAGTGCATTGTTCCATGGTAAACAGGAGAAAGTGGACATTTCAGCAGTGCAGTGACTCATTTGTATCTATTAATGATAATTCTTAGGGGTTTTTAACACCTGCTGATAAAAGTGGACTGAGATTTCCTCATCACAACTGCCCCTCCTGGTCTCAAAAGCTTTGCAGGTTGGGGCAGGGACAGAGCAGAGCCAGGCACACAGACAGAGCCTCCACCTGCAGAGCAGAGCCTGTGGCTCGTGCCTGAGCAATTCCCATCCCAGAGGACACACAGGCTTTTAAGTCACCTTTTTAACAAAGATTTATTTTAATGTGCCCCTGAGGTGAGCCAGGGTCCCTCTGGGGCAGATGCTGTGGGTCCCTCTCAAGGTAACCCCAGCACAGCCTCAAGCTCCACACTCTGAGACAGCTTCCAACACAACCCTGAGCAAAATCCCCAGGCTCTCTGCAACTCAACCCCAGCCCTGAGAGAAATTAAATTCTTTCCTTTCTGAAACAATGTCCCTTGGAATGATTTTGCCCTTAATGAGCCCCGACTGGGCTGCTGTGTTCTGGAGCCACTGGTGTGCATGTTAACGAGGAGCTCTCTCCGAGTGGAAGCGTGGAGATGGCTGGCCCTGTAATGGGAGTCTGTTCAGCATCCTAAGTCCCACATTAGGCTGTGCCTGTAGGAACCCTGGCATGTTCCATGGAGACTGCCTCAAGGTAATCATCTCTCCTGGCTGTCCCTAAGCAAGTGCTCAGCTTGCAGCTATTCCAGGAACTGCGGCAGACATGATAAAGTTTAGCCCCTAATGCATTCACCAGCAGCAAGGTGAGGAAAGTGCCCGTTGATTTGGGATGAAAAGGGAAAGGCAAAGGGCTGTGGTACCCACAGAAACCTCCATCTCACTGGGATTTGGATCTTGAACTGTGAGGGACTGGGAGCCCTGGAATTTCATTGTTTTCTCAGAGTAGGTTCAAACCATGAGCAATACTCAAAAAACATCATCTGCCTCAAATTTATCTTTGAGCCCTGCTTGATTCAAATGATGCATCCCAGTACTTCCCATCCCAGAAAGCAATTCCATACACCACATCCACTTAAATACACACTGACAACAGGTATAGGTACACACACACATTTAGATTTGTGTATTACATGGAATTAGTCCATTCCTTAAAAATTCTGCAAAAGTTCTTCCAAACCCATTCCCTCATTGACAGACCAGCAGAGAGATATAACACTGCTCTCCTAGAAAAATACAGCAGCTCATTTATATTTGAAAGTTGTGAAGTCATTAGCTGGCAATTAATGTTCCACCCACCTGTGCAGCCCCTCCTGAGGTCACATAGAACCTGCCCAGAGCTCTGAGCCCGCCATCGTCAGCGCTGGGTGAGAACTGCTGAGATAAAATGTTGTCTGAATTAGATGGGGAGGATTAGAAAGGTGATAAAAGCTAAGCCAGGAGAAAATCAGACGATTAATAGGTCTGGCAAGATAGATGGATAATCTTCCTCCCAGGCCAAACCTGACAGGATAATCACCTTTTTCTGTTCTCTGGTTCCATTTGCTCTCAACTCACCACAGCTTTACAGACATCACTGAATTTGGTTTTCTGGTACCCGGGAAATGGGGATCACTAGGTCTGTCTTTATGGACAAGAGATTTGAGGTGCCTCATTTAGGAACAGCTTTAGGTTTCTGATGAGGGTTGCAAAAATCAGTCAAAGCATTGCCTTTTCTTAGTCTGTGTCTCATCTCCTGCTGTGTGCCAGGCAGGGCTGAGGAGAGCTGGTCAAAGCAGAGCTGCAGCTCCTTTTCCCAGCGGAGCCAGAGTGGGAGTCAGTCTGTCCTGTGCCAGGGGTGTCCCTGTCCCCAGCAGCTGTCACAGAGCCAGGCACTGTGCAAGAGCTCCCTGATCCTACTGAGATCTGGATTCAGCCCCTCACTGTCCTCCTGTCCCCTCCGCTTTTAGGCTCCAGATTATCTCTGAGCAGATCTAAACCACCCACTGGAGCAACTGAAAACTCTTTAAACATTCCCACTTGGGAAAGGGATTGTCTGAACTGGCCTTTGCTCTCCTTCTCCTGAGAAATTCCCATTGCTCCTGATCCATGCAAGGTGTGAGCCTGCAGAGCCCTGCTCTTTGCTGAAGCTTTGTTCCCCCAGATGGGGACTCCTTGTCTGAGGACAGAACTCAGGATAAGTTTTCCATCTCTTTGTGGCATTGATTTCTCCATGAACAATCGACTTTGCAACACAGAGCAATGGAATATTTGATTAGCCAGAATTACAGACCACAACATTAATAATTTTGTGAGCTGAACTGAAAAGATTTGCACTTGTTCTCACTGGGAATAGTGCAATTTTCTCCTTTCTAAGAGAAACTTTGCTCTAATGGCAGGGTGCATTGTCATCCCACAGGAGCAGGTATTGACTATTGCCTCTGAGTTTGGGGGGCTTGAATCCATGCAATTTTCACCTGGGCTGGAATCTTGTAGGTGGACTGTTCATCATGGCTCTGGATTTTCAAAAGAAGTTAGCAATTTTGGACACCTTATACTTGTGTTTGAGACACTCTGAAAGGGACCGATTACAAGAGGCAGGTGCTTAGAAGTCCCTGAAAATCAGGATTAATTGGAATATGTCATGCTGAGCACCTGAAAACAGTGAAATGCTTTGGAAAATCACAGGGGAGGGAGTTGTGCTTCTGAACATGACTTGGGAAGAATGTACAGCCTTAAGTAACACAGGATAAAGAGATCTTTGCATAACATTATGGAAACATCCTTTAATCCTCAGTGCAGCCAAGTGCTTGACTTTAGTTTGATTCCTGAGGGAGTTCAGTGCTGAAGTTTGTGCATTTGTATTCTCCTGAAGTGGAGCCTGACATTGTGTGAGTTACTGTAGGTTTATGAAAAATTCTGAGTCTCCAAATGAAAATAAATCAAAAGGCAAAGTTCTCTTCCCAAGGCCAGGGTTTGCTGCAGGTCCTGCAGAGCCACAGACTGGGTGTGCCATGGAAGAGCTTCTCTTTGCCCTTCCTGAGCCAGAATCCCAGAATCAGAATCTTTAAGTGCTGAACACACATGAAACACAATTTCCACATCCCAAGGAGCTTTAAGGTCCCTTCCAACCCAAACCATTCTGTGACTGTACGAGCAGGAAAACCAAATCCTTTGCTCAGAGTCCCCTGAGATCCCACTCTGGCCAGGGACTGTGAATCCTGCAGGAGTGGGGTGGGTTTGGTGGGGCAGGTGCTGTGAACCCAGTGCAGGGTTTGAGAGAGGCTGCAGGTGAACCCTGGGGCAAAACAAATCCGCACCAAAGGCACCACAACCTCATCCTGTTTATCCAGCCTCAAAATCTGTGGCAGATCTCGTGTCTGAAATCCACTCTCTTTTTCCTGCTGGGATTCCCAAGCACCTCCCAGTCTCCCAGGCACTACCAGATGCCACGATTGCAGTGGAGTGGCAGCGACACACAGACAAATATTTGTGCAAGGCACACAGAGCCAGGAGCCTGGAACATTGGCTGTGTGCTGGGAGGGGAGAGGCCAAGAAAAAAGGATCCTGCCTTTGACAGGCTTTATTTCCATTGAATTTTAAACAATAAAAATCTGGATGGCTGGATGGTGTTTATTTCTAGCAAAACTTCAAATATTTGCTTCCAGTAGGTGACAAGGAACCCTCCTGGCAGATTCATTTCCAGTTTACTCATTTTGAAGAATACTTAAAGGGTCAGGAATTAAATTGAATTAAGTTCAGACCTTACCCTGAGTCCCCTGTTCTTCAGAGACCTCTGGGTTGGATCCATCTATGAGATCTACAGAAAATGGCCAGTTAAAAAAAAAAAAATAGTGACAAAATAAGCCCTGAACAAATGGAAATAAAACTTTGATTAAGCAAGACTGCACAATACAAAATTTAGTTGGCTTTGAGGATATGATATCACCTGTCCTACTATTTTTTATATTAAATATGAAATCTGATTAGGTAATTCCGCAGAATGTGGAGATAAAGCCATAAAAGCAGGAATAGGTATTTGGTACAATATTTTCTGGCTTCTTCTGCATGGCTTTTTGGGGCAGGAGGTGAAGAATATGGGATTTTTTTCCCCTTATTTTACAGGGCACTTCAAGGAGAAAAACCTAATATTGGTGTTGGCAGAGAGAAGGCACTGCCCAGACTGAACCTCAGCAGTTGTTGGGAGATGTTGGGAGATTTACAGAGAGATAACAAAGATATCTCTCCACTCCAGTTCCACAGGGAAACATTACCGCCCTTACTTTGTTCAGTGTTTATAAAATATGTCTAAAGGTTGTGTGGATAATCAAGGCCTGAAAGGAAATAACTTTCTTTTCAAGTGTTTTTCTTCTTTTTTTCCCCAGAAATATTTAATTCTGAAGTAAAAAATAGGAGTTTTAAAATGGAGAACAGCTTGTTTCCTTTTCCTCTGAGAGGCCAACATCACTCAGGAAAAATACAAGTGTAAGGACAGATGTGGCCAGGCTGAGCCTGGATTAAATCACCTCGAGCCTCTGTTCAGCAAAGTGTTTAAACACACATTTAGTAGAGCTGGGGGAGAATTTCTAATGAACAGGGATTCATTCAGGGAATATCCCAGCTTCCAAAAATGGACATAAAACAAATGCAGCAAATCACTTCAGCTCTGTGAAATGCTTAATTTCCAAAGTGCTCAAACACTTGAACATTTTATCTTTTTTATTTTCTAGATAAGATCCTTGGTTTAATAATCTAAAGAGAAAATAATATTTTATTTCGGCGTGAGCCAGAGATAAACACTTGGTTGTTTTAATTTTGTCAAAATTAAAAATAAAAACCAGCCACTTTGTTTAACTTGATCACATTCAATTTTAAATTTCTTTTCTCTGGAGCATTTTGGGGAAAAATCCACTCTGATTTGGCCATCGAGCACTTCAAGATAACACAATCTGTCAATGGACCCAAAGTGTGCCACTACTGCAAGGCAGATTTTGAGTAGCCAGATAGAATCAGTCACAGAGGAAAAATAATTTCAATTAACTGTTCATGAAGCATCATCTCCCAACAGCACCTTGGTGAAATATCCTGTTTCTCCTACAAACTAGGGAATTTTAATTTTAAACTTTACACATGAACTACCAGTCAGACACATTTTCAAAAGGACAGCGTTGGGTTTTCCAGCATAAAGCTTTGATGCTGAGTAGATGTGAAGTGCAGGTTACGTTTGGATTCTCGCAGTCACACCGTGCTCCCAAATGTTTCCATTCCCTGCCCTACCCGAGGCTGTGAGTGTCTCTTACCTGAGGATGTTTGGAAAACGCCTCCATCCCACCGTCCCTTCCCACCTCAGCCGCCCCTTGGCTCCCATCCCGAGCGGCTCCGGGCCCTGGGTCGGTGTCGGGCAGGGCTGGATGGGGACGGGACCGGGGCATCCGTGTCCGGTACGT